CCACATATATACCGTATACAGGACACACCCCACATATATACCGTATACAGGACACACCCCACATATATACACCCCCTCATACATATACACACCCGTATACACATATATACCCCATATATACAGGACACACCCCTCATATATACCCGTATACAGGACACACCCCTCATAATATACCGTATACAGGACACACCCCTCATATATACCGTATACAGGACACACCCCACATATATACTGTATACAGGACACACCCACATATATACCGTATACAGGACACACCCCACATATATACCGTATACAGGACACACCCCACATATATACCGTATACAGGACACACCCCACATATATACCGTATACAGGACACACCCCTCATATATACCGTATACAGGACACACCCCACATATATACCGTATACAGGACACACCCCACATATATACCGTATACAGGACACACCCCACATATATACCGTATACAGGACACACCCCCACATATATACTGTATACAGGACACACCCCACATATATACCGTATACAGGACACACCCCACATATATACTGTATACAGGACACACCCCACATATATACCGTATACAGGACACACCCCACATATATACCGTATACAGGACCACACCCCACATATATACCTGTATACAGGACACACCCCACATATATACTGTATACAGGACACACCCCTCAACATATACTGTATACAGGACACACAGGACACATACCCCCACATATATACCGTATACAGGACACCCCCCACACAATATATACTGTATACAGGACACCCCCCACATATATACCATATACAGGACACACCCCACATATACCTTATACCGTATACAGGACACACCCCCAATATACATACACACCGTATACAGGACCGTATACACCCCCATATATATACCGTATACAGGACACACCCCCGACATATATACCGTATACAGGACACACCCCACATATATACCGGTATACAGGACACACACCCCTCATATATACCGTACACAGGACACACCGCACATATATACTGTATACAGGACACACACGCACATTATACCACGTATACAGACACACCCCACATATATACCGTAATACAGGAGACACCCCTCATATATTCTGTGAGATTACCCTCCCCCCTTGGTCTATATATATATATTGTGGGAACTCACTTCAGAAGGTAGAGCTCTTCCTTGGTGAAGCACACAGCAACTCGCTTCTTTAAGGTCCTTTTTGCCCAATTTTATTTAAAAGAAAAAAGTTCAACAAAAACGTTTCCCACGCCGGGGTATCCGCCAGCAAACAAACGCAACAAAGATCAGCCTTCTGGCTCACATAGAAGCCCACATTTTTCCCTTCACACATGTCCGTCTCCTGCAGACTCACACAGCCAACATATGGCTCTCGCACACAGCTAGTCTGACTCCAACCCCTCTCCTTGGTGAAGCCCTCCACACACATAGCCCACGAGTCCTTGGACCGCACACAGCCCCCGAGTCCTTGGACCGCACACCACAGCCCCGAGTCTTTGGACCGCACGCAGCCCCCGAGTCCTTGGACCGCACGCAGCCCCCGAGTCCTTGGACCGCACACAGCCCACGAGTCCTTGGACCGCACGCAGCCCACGAGTCCTTGGACCGCACGTAGCCCCGAGTCCTTGGACCGCGCACACAGCCCCCGAGTCCTTGGACCGCACACAGCCCCCACGAGTCCTTGGACCGCACACAGCCCCCGAGTCCTTGGGACCGCACGCACAGCCCCCGAGTCCTTGGACCGCACATAGCCCACGAGTCCTTGGACCGCACACAGCTTTGGCTCACACAGAGCCACTCAATGTCAGCCACTCCACTTCCCCCTTGTAACTCTCAGCAAACCCTCATTATATGGGCTCTGAGCACCGGGGCCCAAACCCTGCTGATTGACTTCAAATGCTGGACACTGGATTGGAGATTCCTTCCCCCCCAAGGCACTGTGAAATCTCCAGACCACACGGAGCCCCATTCCAGCAATATCCAAATCTGGAGAAAACTGCCACAGCAGTATCTCCACTCACAACCTACACTCCGTGGTTCTGCACTTCGCACATGTGCAGACCCTGTGCCCATCACCAGACCACCTCTACCTGCCTTTATCCCGTGACAGGGCCCTGCACTGTGACAATACAATATATATACTGTGAGATTCCCCTCCCCCTTGGTCCATATATATATATATACTGTGAGATTCCCCTCCCCCTTGGTCCATATATATATATATACTGTGAGATTCCCCCCCCCTTGGGTCCATGTATATATATACTGTGAGATTCCCCGCCCCCCTTGGTCCATGTATATATATACTGTGAGATTCCCCTCCCCCCTTGGTCCATGTGTATATATATCCTGTGAGATTCCCCTCCCCCCTTGGTCCATGTATATATACATATACTGTGAGATTCCCCTCCCCCTTGGTCCATGTATATATATATATACTGTGAGATTCCCCTCCCCCTTGGTCCATGTATCCAATGTATATATATATACTGTGAGATTCCCCTCCCCCTTGGTCCATGTATATATATACTGTGAGATTCCCCCCCCCCTGGTCCATGTATATATATATATATCCTGTGAGATTCCCCTCCCCCAATGGTATATATATATATATGCTGTGCGATTCCCCTCCCCCTTGGTCCATGTATATATATAATGGTGAGATTCCCCTCCCCCTTGGTCCATGTATATATATACTGTGAGATTCCCCTCCCCCTTGGTCCATGTATATATATACTGTGAGATTCCCCTCCCCCCTTGGTCCATGTATATATATACTGTGAGATTCCCCTCCCCCCTTGGTCCATGTATATATATACTGTGAGATTCCCCTCCCCCCTTGGTCCATGTATATACAGTCAGGTCCATAAATATTGGGACATGGACACAATTCTAACATTTTTGGCTCTATACACCACAATGGATTTGAAATGAAAGGAACAAGATGTGCTTTAACTGCAGACTGTCAGCTTTAATTTGAGGGTATTTACATCCAAATCAGGTGAACGGTGTAGGATTTACAACAGTTTGCATATGTGCCTTCCACTTGTTAAGGGACCAAAAGTAATGGGACAGAATAATAATCATAAATCAAACTTTCACTTTTTAATACTTGGTTACAAATCCTTTGCAGTCAATGACAGCCTGAAGTGTGGAACGCATAGACATCACCCAGACGCTGGGTGTCATCCCTGGTGATGCTCTGCCAGGCCTCTACTGCAACTGTCTTCAGTTCCTGCTTGTTCTTGGGGCATTTTCCCTTCAGTTTTGTCTTCAGCAAGTGAAATGCTCAATCGGATTCAGGTCAGGTGATGGACTTGGCCATTGCAGAACATTCCACTTCTTTGGTGTCTTTTGCAGTCTGCTTTGGGTCATTGTCCATCTGCACTGTGAAGCGTCCAATGAGTTGTGAATCATTTGGCTGAATATGAGCCGATAATATTCCCGAAACACTTCACAATTCATCCGGCTGCTTCTGTCAGCAGTCACATCATCAATAAATACAAGAGAAGCAGTTCCATTGGCAGCCATACATGCCACGCCATGACACTACCACCACCATGATCACTGATGAGGTGGTATGCTGAGGACCATGAGCAGTTCCTTCTCCATCCTCTTCTCTTCCCATCACTCTGGTACAAGTTGATGTCGGTCTCATCTGTCCATAGGATGTTGTTCCAGAACTGTGAAGGCTTTTTTACATGTCCGTTTGGCAAACTCTAATCTGGCCTTCCTGTGTTTTGAGGCTCACCAATGGTTTCCATCTTGTGGTGAACCCTCTGTATTCACTCTGGTGAAGTCTTCTCTGATTGGTGACTTTGACACACATACACCTACCTCCTGGAGGTGTTCTTGATCTGGCCAACTGTTGTGAAGGGTGTTTTCTTCACCAGGGAAAGAATTCTTCGCTCATCCACCACAGTTGTTTTCCGTGGTCTTCCGGGTCTTTTGGTGTTGCTGAGCTCACCGGTGCGTTCCTTCTTTTTAATAATGTTCCAAACAGTTGTTTTGGCCACGCCTAATGTTTTTGCTATCTCTCTGATGGGTTTGTTTTGTTTTTTCAGCCTAATGATGGCTTCACTGATAGTGACAGCTCTTTGGATCTCATCTTGAGAGTCGACAGCAACAGATTCCAAATGCAAACAGCACACTTGAAATGAACTCTGGATCTTTTATCTGCTCATTGTAATTGGGATAATGAGGGAATAACACACACCTGGCCATGGAACAGCTGAGAAGCCAATTGTCCCATTACTTTTGGTCCCTTAACAAGTGTGGGAGGCACATATGCAAGCTGTTGTAATTCCTACACCGTTCCACCTGATTTGGATGTAAATACCCTCAAATTAAAGCTGACAGTCTGCAGTTAAAGCACATCTTGTTCATTTCATTTCAAATCCATTGTGGTGGTGTATAGAGCCAAAAATGTTAGAATTGTGTCCATGTCCCAATATTTATGGACCTGACTGTATATATATATATATATATATATTTGTCCCTGTATATATATGCTGTGAGGTTCTCCCCCCCCTTTGTCCCTGTATATATATATACTGTGAGATTCCCCTCCCTCCTTAGTCCATGTATATATATACTGTGAGATTCCCCTCCCCCCTTGGTCCATGTATATATATACTGTGAGATTCCCCGCCCCCCTTGGTCCATGTGTATATATATATATATTGTGGGAACTCGCTTCAACGTGGTAGAGCTTTTAAACGCAAACAGCTACTCACTTTCTTTTCAAGGCCTTTTTAGCCCACTTTTATTTAAATGAAAGTTCAAAACAGAAGTTTCCCACACAGGGGTATCCACCATCAAACAAAATTCAATGATTCAGCCTCCTGGCTTACACTCAGCTTGATGTCTGCCTCCTGCAGACTTCTTCAAGAATTATGGCTCTTGCTCACAGCTGGCCACTAGCACACAGCTAGTCTCTAGCAGCCCCTTGCTGCTTTTGGCTTCCACCTCTCCTAGGCGAAGCCCACCTGACTCCTATCTGCCGGGGTGGAGCCCAGAACCCTGGTCCTGACTCTCTCTAAAGGCCTGCACACACCTGTGCAATCAGTCTCCTGGCCTATCCCAAAACCTGGTCCCAGGATTGGAGATTTCATCCCTCCCAGATCTCTTTGAAATCTCCAGGCTCCAGATCCCAAAACAGACCTTACAAACAAAGGAGGAAGGTGAAAAGCCACTTTCCTCCATATCAAACACTTACCCTGGAGCCCCTCAACCTGCCTAGTTGAGAATTCAGGGTGACAGATCGCCACACTGTCACATAACCCCCCCCTTTGTTTTGATCCCGTAGGGGGCAGAACACACAACTTATATCTTCTGGCACCTCTGTGCCAGCTCTCACTTACAGGGGTCCAATCTGGTCTGACTATACCTTTCCTAAAGGGGAACTCTACCCAATGATTCCTTTGGTGTCTCTCCCCAAGCTTCATTGTCACTCTGCTATGGGCTCTACTCAGACCTTGCCTACTCTTTTTCCGGGTGCACTTCCATAAATACTTTCTCTCTTGAAATCCTAATGGGGTCCCCCTGGCCTTTCTATCGACCTTTCTGCCCCTTTGCTTCAGGTGCTCAGATTTCCTAATACCTCTCTCCGTATTACTGTCCCAAGGCTGTAGGGGAACTATTTCTACTGTATTTGTACCAGGACCACCCCCCTGATTTCTTGTACCTCTATCTATCAAACCTGCATGACTCCTTACCACAGCATTCAGTTTACCATGAATGGTTATATTCCAGTCAATATTACACCTTTCAATATCTTTTCCAGCATTTGTTAGGGCAGTGTCTGTAGAGGGCACACACACCATAGGGCAGCCATCACCCACGTGAACCTCACAAAATGCCACTTCACTTCACCTGGTGTCATGCACTCTGCAGGCAGCTGTCCAACCATTTTAGCTTTTCCTACACCACTTGGATATGTATCCAAACCCTGTACAGATGACCTCTTTTTTGATCCATTTTGCCAGTTTTCACATACCATTTCTCCCTGTATTTCAGGTGTCTTATCAGACCTGCTACATAAACCTCTTTTTGGCCCAATGACCCTGATTTCTTGATGCACATCCGTTTGAGCCCTGGTCAGGATCTCTGCTGTTCTCTGGTCCATGCTCAGCCCTTCCATCTCATGTGGTTTGTCCACTGGTGCAGTCAACACGCCCTTCACTGACAACTGACCAGCACTATCCTGGACCATAGCAGCAGAAATGCTTCCCACCTGGCTGTTAGGAGGTGAAACCTTTGACTCATTTTTCATTTCTCCAAAACTTCTCTCAAATACATTTCCAGGTAGTCCAGCAGCATACCCTGATACAACTTTTACCACCATCAACAAATTCTGAAATAAACCACTTTCTTGTTCCCGTTTGATATGTACAGCCAGCCATTTGGTGCTCCACCTAGTGGTACTCCGCAGTACCAGACCATCTGACTGTGGAGGAGACACCCCAGTATACATTGGTTGTACATTCCAAAGTTCAAGCATATCCTTTAATACTTTGGTTACAACCCAACCACTTGACTCTATACCCAAGACCTTCCTGACCATATTTAGGGCACTGGGAACGCTGAGAGACTCTCACCTGCGGAGACTTGAGAAGTTGAAATTTTTAAAGGGACCTCCTCCAAACTGGAGATAACCACAGCCTGGTGCTCCACCAGAGCGCTGCCATGTGCTGGCTCACTCTCAACATCTCAGACTCAGCATCCACAAGCTGTCCCTGATCATTCCCAGTGACATCATTTTGACACTCCATGCCAACATCACTTTTGTGGGTCACAGACAAAGTCTCTGCTGTATGCACGCCCTTATCTATAGGTTGTTCTATAGATCCTCCTGCTGGCACAGCAGAAACCGTGTCCACCTTATTTTGCATAAAAGCCTCATCTAACAACGAGATTAGCCTTTTACCCCAACTAACCCAGTCCATTGTATATGTGCTCAATTCACCAGTGCTCCTCAGCACCGATCCATCTGCCCAAGGAGACACATAAGAATAGATGGGTTTAGTTGCAGATCCATTGCACAAATCACTCTGGGATCATGTCAGACTTAGGTAACACCTGTTTTCCCACTGCAGGTTGCAATACCTCACATCCACCACTTTGCTCTGGTGGTGCTTCCTGAATTACACACACATTTGCATTTTTGCCAGGCTGCATTAACCCGCTGTTCACCTGAACACTTTCAGTAATATTAGGCTGCAGCAACACACTCCTATGACAAGGTGCAGTTCCACTCTGCTCCACCAGAGTGACATCGCAGTTGTCCAGGGCAACCTCCGGCTCCAATACACGGAGACCCCTGGAGATGTCTATGGACACCTGTGCTGTCTTACCACCAGTTGCTATGAGAAATGACCCATCTTTAGTTACAGCTTTTACACTGCAAGAGCTCATCAAGTTTTTCCCAACAGCAGTACATTTCACATCATGAACAACATCAGCATTTATAGCTCTTGTGGGCTGTACTAGCCCACTACCAACCTGTGACTGGCACACATTAGTGACATCACTTGCTTTTTGAGAACCATGCACAGGTTTTACTTTAACCCCTAACTCCCCACTGTACAAGGCACTGCACAGGGAAAAGTCACTCTCAAAAGCACATTCAGTGGGCCAACTAACTGGGGTCACTCCTACATCAGATGGACAGTCTCATAACCAGTCCTTCTCAACATGACAGTCCCAGTCATGGTTTTATCACACACAGTCTTACCCACCACAGTAGTAGGTGTCACCATCTTCATTTGAGTGCGTCGTCTCATAAACGCATCCTCAACTGCACTTTCCTTGGCAACTTTTCCCTTGTCCCAAGGTAAAGTAACAGACGCCCTCATAGGCTCCATAGACTCTCTGGCACCCCCTGCAGGCCAACAGGAACTTCCTCCCTGTTGCCAGAGGCGGCTGCCAACATTGGTGGGGGGGGGGGGGGGGGGGGGGGGGGGGGGGGGGGGGGGGGGGGGGGGGGGGGGGGGGGGGGGGGGGGGGGGGGGGGGGGGGGGGGGGGGGGGGGGGGGGGGGGGGGGGGGGGGGGGGGGGGGGGGGGGGGGGGGGGGGGGGGGGGGGGGGGGGGGGGGGGGGGGGGGGGGGGGGGGGGGGGGGGGGGGGGGGGGGGGGGGGGGGGGGGGGGGGGGGGGGGGGGGGGGGGGGGGGGGGGGGGGGGGGGGGGGGGGGGGGGGGGGGGGGGGGGGGGGGGGGGGGGGGGGGGGGGGGGGGGGGGGGGGGGGGGGGGGGGGGGGGGGGGGGGGGGGGGGGGGGGGGGGGGGGGGGGGGGGGGGGGGGGGGGGGGGGGGGGGGGGGGGGGGGGGGGGGGGGGGGGGGGGGGGGGGGGGGGGGGGGGGGGGGGGGGGGGGGGGGGGGGGGGGGGGGGGGGGGGGGGGGGGGGGGGGGGGGGGGGGGGGGGGGGGGGGGGGGGGGGGGGGGGGGGGGGGGGGGGGGGGGGGGGGGGGGGGGGGGGGGGGGGGGGGGGGGGGGGGGGGGGGGGGGGGGGGGGGGGGGGGGGGGGGGGGGGGGGGGGGGGGGGGGGGGGGGGGGGGGGGGGGGGGGGGGGGGGGGGGGGGGGGGGGGGGGGGGGGGGGGGGGGGGGGGGGGGGGGGGGGGGGGGGGGGGGGGGGGGGGGGGGGGGGGGGGGGGGGGGGGGGGGGGGGGGGGGGGGGGGGGGGGGGGGGGGGGGGGGGGGGGGGGGGGGGGGGGGGGGGGGGGGGGGGGGGGGGGGGGGGGGGGGGGGGGGGGGGGGGGGGGGGGGGGGGGGGGGGGGGGGGGGGGGGGGGGGGGGGGGGGGGGGGGGGGGGGGGGGGGGGGGGGGGGGGGGGGGGGGGGGGGGGGGGGGGGGGGGGGGGGGGGGGGGGGGGGGGGGGGGGGGGGGGGGGGGGGGGGGGGGGGGGGGGGGGGGGGGGGGGGGGGGGGGGGGGGGGGGGGGGGGGGGGGGGGGGGGGGGGGGGGGGGGGGGGGGGGGGGGGGGGGGGGGGGGGGGGGGGGGGGGGGGGGGGGGGGGGGGGGGGGGGGGGGGGGGGGGGGGGGGGGGGGGGGGGGGGGGGGGGGGGGGGGGGGGGGGGGGGGGGGGGGGGGGGGGGGGGGGGGGGGGGGGGGGGGGGGGGGGGGGGGGGGGGGGGGGGGGGGGGGGGGGGGGGGGGGGGGGGGGGGGGGGGGGGGGGGGGGGGGGGGGGGGGGGGGGGGGGGGGGGGGGGGGGGGGGGGGGGGGGGGGGGGGGGGGGGGGGGGGGGGGGGGGGGGGGGGGGGGGGGGGGGGGGGGGGGGGGGGGGGGGGGGGGGGGGGGGGGGGGGGGGGGGGGGGGGGGGGGGGGGGGGGGGGGGGGGGGGGGGGGGGGGGGGGGGGGGGGGGGGGGGGGGGGGGGGGGGGGGGGGGGGGGGGGGGGGGGGGGGGGGGGGGGGGGGGGGGGGGGGGGGGGGGGGGGGGGGGGGGGGGGGGGGGGGGGGGGGGGGGGGGGGGGGGGGGGGGGGGGGGGGGGGGGGGGGGGGGGGGGGGGGGGGGGGGGGGGGGGGGGGGGGGGGGGGGGGGGGGGGGGGGGGGGGGGGGGGGGGGGGGGGGGGGGGGGGGGGGGGGGGGGGGGGGGGGGGGGGGGGGGGGGGGGGGGGGGGGGGGGGGGGGGGGGGGGGGGGGGGGGGGGGGGGGGGGGGGGGGGGGGGGGGGGGGGGGGGGGGGGGGGGGGGGGGGGGGGGGGGGGGGGGGGGGGGGGGGGGGGGGGGGGGGGGGGGGGGGGGGGGGGGGGGGGGGGGGGGGGGGGGGGGGGGGGGGGGGGGGGGGGGGGGGGGGGGGGGGGGGGGGGGGGGGGGGGGGGGGGGGGGGGGGGGGGGGGGGGGGGGGGGGGGGGGGGGGGGGGGGGGGGGGGGGGGGGGGGGGGGGGGGGGGGGGGGGGGGGGGGGGGGGGGGGGTGGGGGGGGGGGGGGGGGGGGGGGGGGGGGGGGGGGGGGGGGGGGGGGGGGGGGGGGGGGGGGGGGGGGGGGGGGGGGGGGGGGGGGGGGGGGGGGGGGGGGGGGGGGGGGGGGGGGGGGGGGGGGG